GATGAGATGAGGGGTATGCTGTGTATTTAAAACATATTTTTTACTTTCTTCCTTTTCTAAATGTCTTATTTTAAGTATTTTTATTGGATTATATATTCCCTGGAATTAATATGATTTTAATAGTATAATCAAACTCCTGCTTTGTCACATCATGAGACATTAAACATTTTAGGCAGACAGTGAAACCACTGAGATAAACCCTCAGCTGAACATATTAGTATTTTGAAAATCCAGAAACAATATTAAATTTTTGGTTTAAAATAACATTATCAAAATTAGATATTAAATACCCATTATATATACATCCAAAGATGAATTCTTAAAAACCAAATAAAAATGGAAAAAATTATTTTCTTCACTAGGTACTTTTTTTTATTTTTGTACTGGGGATCAAACTCAGGTCCTTGTGTTTGAGAGGCAGGCACTGGAACCACTGAGCTAAAACCTCAGCCCAGTACATTTTACTCAGTATTGAAAATATTTATGAAGTATTATTTCCCTCAAACAAATATGTGTATATTTGAAAGTGCATTTTATGGAAGCAATTAGATCTTAAATATATTTCTTTTAAAGCATCATACCACAGTGACATATGCATACACATGTTACTATATATATAGCAGCACAGTTTCTGATAGCTAAGTCTTACAGACAGCTCAAATGCCCACAACCAATGAATGAATAAATATATGACTCTTTAATACAATTGAGAATAGCTCTACCTTAAAGAAAGATAAGCATGAAACATTTCTAGGTAAATGGATGCACCTTAACACTATGCTCTTATGCGAAATAAATCAGACACACATGTAAATATTGCATGGTTTCTCTCATTTGAGAAGCAAAAGGGTAAATAAGCAAAAAACTGTATAATAGATACTGTGAAATAGGCTGGGAATGTTCAAATGGGAAAGGAAAGTAGGGAAGGTGAGTGGAAAAGGAAAGAAGAAAAAAGGAAAAAAAGAGAACAGGAGGAAAAATCAAACACACCTTCTGTAAATAAGGAGGGAAAGAGAGGTTAAAGGGAGGGAAGGGGAATAGGAAAAAACAAGAACCAAGGTATATCATTTACAGGTACAAATTCCCTATGATGAATGACATCACTATGTACACAAAAAATGTACCAATAAAATTAATTAAGAAAATTATTAATTTAACATTATTATACTTTTTCTATATTATAATAATAAAATATAAATTTCTCATGCAGAAGAACTATAAATACTTTATTATTCTCATTATTAAATGTATTGGTACATATTAGGTATACAATACTGTTACATTCATCTTTGGGATCTTGTACCTAGACATGAGTTATCAGGTTTTTACTTTTCCCCATTCCCCAGCCTTCCCCTCAGCCTCTCCACCTTTCTCTGTTTACAAAGACATTGTTTCCATGTTTTTCCTTTTCACATATTTTTCTTTTCCCTTTTTCCTCACTTCCTTTACTCTTTTAGATTTTTCTTCCTATTACACAATATCAGTTATACATTTTAATCCTTCTTTGCACTTTTAGTTTTCACACCAGAGAAACTATTTGGTATTTACTACGCATGTGTAACTTACCAAATTCACTTAACAGTATGACCTCAATGTGCATCTACTTAGCTATAAATCTCTCTAGTTTCTCATTCTTTATGGCTGAGTAGTATTCCATTTTATTTTTTAAAAATCTTCCTTATCCAGTCTCCAGTTGATGGGTAATTGGGCTGTTTCCAAGTTTTAGCTATTACAAACTGTGCCACTATAAACATGGATGTGCATACATCACTGTGGTATGATTCTTTTAATTCTTTTGGGAAGATCCTCAGCAGAGGAATAGCTGGATCAAATGGGACCTCTAATCCTAGTTGTTTCAGATATCTCCATATTGATTTTCACAGTTGTTGCACCAGTATGCACTCTCACCAATAATGAAGAAGGATTACTATCTCCCCACAATCCTGTCAGAATTTGTTATTGGTTGATTTCTTGATAGCAGCCATACTTACTGGGGTGAGATGGAATCTCAGTGTTGTTTTCATCTCCATTTCTTGAAGGATCAACGATGTTGAACAGTTTTTCATATGATTATTTGCTGCTTTTACTTCTTTGTCTGAGAAGTGTCTGTTCATTTCAGATGCCCATTTTTTAATTGGTCTTTATATTTGGGGGTGCTAATTTTTTAACCCACTTGGATTTTAGTTTAGTGCATGGTGAAAGATACTGGTCTAGTTTTAATCTTTGATAAGATGAAATCCAGTTTTTCCAGCACCATTTATTAAAGAGGCTATCTTTCCTCTAGAGAGGGTGTTTGGATCTTTTGTTAAAGATGAGGTACTAGTATGTCAGATGTTTCTGCATCTTCTAATTGATTCCACTCACCCTCGGGTTTCTTGGCCAGTACTATTCTGTTTTTATCACAGTGGCTTTGTAGTATAGTTTCAAATCCAGTATTGTGATACCCGCTGCCTTGTCTCCGTTGTCTAGAATTGCTTTTGCTATTCTAGGTCTCTTCTGATTCCAAATGAATTTTGCATTGCTTTCTCTAGTTCTATGAAATTTCAATAGGGATTGCACTGAATCTGTATAGCAGTTTTGGAAATATGGCCATTTTCACTATATTGATTAATCCTACCCAGCAACAAGGGATTTTTTTTTTCATTTTATGTCCTTTTCAATCTATTTTTTTAGAGTGCTGCAGCTTTCAGTGTAGAGGTCTTTTGTTTCCTTCATTACACTGATTCCTAGCTATTTTATTCTTTTGGATGCTATTGTGAAAGGGATTGTTCTCCTAATTTGACTCTCAGTGAGACTGTTATTTGTGGACAAGAAAGCTATTGATTTTTTTTAGTATTACCTTGTATCTGCTACTCTACTGACTCTGTTAAATCTAGAATCTTTTGGCAGAATTCTTTGGGTCTTCTATATAGAGTATCATATCATCAGCAAATAATGACAGTTTAACTTCTCCCTTTCCTATCTTTATAGATTTCATTTCTTTCTCTTGTCTAATTGCTGTGGCTAATGTTTCCATAACTATATTGAACAGGATTGGTGGGAATGTACATCTTTGTCTCATTCCTGATTTTAGCATGAAGTTGTTTAATTTTTGACCATTAAGTATGATATTGACTGTTAGCTTTTCATAAATAGCCTTTACTAAGTTGAGATAAAGACCATCTATTCCAATTTTCTCTAAGGTTTTTCTCATGAATGGGTGTTGAATCTTGTTAAATGCTTTTTCTTCATCTATTGAGAGGATCATATGGTTTTTGTCCTTGGTTCTGTTAATATAGTTAATGGCATTTATTGATTTACATATGTTGAACCATGCTTGCATCCCTGGGATAAATCTGACTTGGTCAGGGTGCATGATCTTCTTGATGATCCTCTGTATTCTGTTTGCCAGTATCTTATTGAGGATTTTTGCATCTATGTTCACTAAGGAGATTGGCCTGTAGTACTCTTTTTTTGAGGGGGTCTTTCCCTGCTTTTAGAATCAAAGTAATATTTGCTTCCAGGAATGAATTTGGGTGTATTGTTTGTCTTTCAATTTCATTAAAAAATTTAAAGAGTAATGACAATATTTCTCTAAATGTCTTGTAGAATTCAGCAGTGACACCATCAGGATCTGGGCTTTGCTTTGTTGGTAAATTTTTTATTAAATTTTCAATTCACTGATTGTAATTGGAGTGTTTAAAAATTTTTATCTTCTTAGTTCAACTTTGGTAATTCATATGTATGTAGGAATCTGTCCATTTCTTCTATGTTCTTGCATTTTATTAAAGTACAGGTTCTCAAAGTAACTATTGATCATCCGGATTTCTGCTGAATCGTTGTGATTTCACCTTTTTCATTCCTATTTGCATGTATTTGAGCCTTTTCTTTTCTTTTTTCAAAAGGTTGGCTAAGGGTTTATCAAATTTATTTATTCTTTCAAAAAACAACTCAAATTTGTTGATTTTTTTGTATCATTTTCTTAGTCTCTATTGCATTGATTTCCCTTCTGATCTTTATAAAATTTCCTCCCTTGTATGAGCATTGGGTTTCTCTTGTCTTCTTTTTCTAGGAACATAAGATTCACCATTAGGTTGTTTGGTAAATACTTTCTGTAAATACTCTGCCTATGGCAGGTAAACTTTAACCTTCAGGGCTTAAATGTGGCCTGCACACAGAGACATCTTTCTAAAAAAGACAGAATGTGAAGGCAGAGTTGGGTGCCAAGAAACTTTATGGAGAGAAATCTGAAAAACAGTATCTCACCCAGGTGCTTGAGATCAGCAGTGATAAAAAACTGTGAACCCTTGATCTGATTTTACCAAAATCCCAAGAAATAACTATGAAAAATATCTGACCAGCCCTTCTAAACATTGTCAATGTCATCAGAAACAGTTTCAGAAAGTGTCATAGTGTCATAGGTAAGAGGAAATCATAAGTGACACAATATATGGAAGGTAATGTGCATCCTGCAGAGAGGATCCTCGAGTAGAAGAAGGAAGTTAGGAAAAGATAAAAATATCTGAATATGTATTAGACCTAAGTTCATAATAATCAGTATTAATTCATTAATCATAATAAATATATATTATTAGTTTAAAGTTCTAATGCATAATAGGAGAAACTACCTGAAGGGGTAGTTTTTGCAGTACTGTTGTAATTTTTCTGTGTTTTTAAAAACTGTTCAAAAGGAATAAAGATTGGAAAAATACCTATAATTTACCAAGTAAATGAATTAGTACCACAAATTCATTTTTAAAATATAAGTATAAATAAAATATAGTAAAAAAGGTAATCTATAATCTCATTATCCAGAGACGATCACTCCCTTGCTAGCCCCATGAGTTTCTTTCATATAAATGAATCCATCTAACTATATCCCATAGGGCTCTTGAACGTATTGTTTTGGCACCCTCTGCATTTTACTCTGTATTTTTTCAAGACATTGCAAAGCCTTTAAAATATAATTTAATAACTGAGCAATATTTACTCAGACTCATATTATAGTTAATTTCTTTTTTTAAAACATGGAACACTTTGCGAATTAGCGTGTCATCCTTACGCAGGGGCCATGCTAATCCTCTCTGTATCATTCCAATTTTAATATATGTGCTGCTGAAGTGAGCACTATTCTAGTTAATTTCTAAACTGTCATCAGACAAGAGAAAATTTCCTAAATTATAGTAATTGTTTTATTCATCAAACGTAGGTATACATTATGATCCATTTCATCCTTGGAATTTTTTACCTAAACATGGCATATCTTGTTTCTTTTTTTTTCCATTCCCCTTCCTTCCCTTCAACCCCTTCACCCCTCCTCCCTTTTTATAAAAGCTTTGTTTCTGTTTTTCCTTCTTTTCTCTTTTTTTTTCTTTCCCTTCTTTCCTTTCACCTGAAATTTAGTTATGTTGAACATTATTTCATGTTTATTTGCTGTTTCTACTTAGTCATCTGAGAAATGTCTGTTCATTTCAGATACCCATTTTTGAACTGGGTTTTTAAATTTGGGAAGGGTCTCATTTTTTCAAGTTCTTTATATATTCTAGATAGTAATCCTATTTTAGTACATAAAATTTTACCAGTCTAAAGTTATTTCTTCAGGAAAATTCTGAGAGTAGTTAGAACATCAAAAAAATTATGAGACTCTTTACACTTGATAGACAATTTCTTTCTAGAAGGTATAAAATAAATTGAGGTGATTCCTTGACTAATTGGTCAAGATTTTTCAAGAATTGATTGAGAGTCTCTCTTATGTATGAATAATTTGCTATCTCAGCAGTTGGTTTACAAATTACACATTTTTAGGGATTTATTTCTGGACCTGGGCCATTGCTTTCCTTGACACTGAAGCACTGTGTTAGTAAAAGGAATGTCTATAGCACACAAAGAAATGAGAAATCATATTGTTCTTCATTGACACTGGTAATCACATAATTATAAAATATCTGTTTATAATTTTTCATGATTAGTAGGGAAATATTCATCTTAGAATGTGGAAAATGCCATAAAAGCCTAGACACGAAATAATAATAAACACCCATAATTAGCTCTCCTAAGCTAAACATTTTGAGCCCTAAAGAATCATTATTTCTCATCTTATTTCTCTCACTCATTTTTTCATATTGTTCTATAAAATTTATCTTTTTTTAATTCAACATTGCATAGTAAGCATTTTCTCATTATTAAAGAGTTTCATACATGTCATTTCAAAAGCTTCATAGCATTTGCTTGCACTGCCGTACAATAATTTCTCAGCCACTAAAGGTTTTGGTTCATTTTTTAATAGTTTTGTCACAAATAAAGCAGGAAAAGCATTTCAGTATATAAAGTATACTGACTTTATTACTCACCTATCATAACAGAGAAGCAGAGTAACACAAAGTACAGTAACCAATTGAATGATTCACATAGATATAGTGGTTATGAGCTCACTGGTGATATATTTGTCTCATCATAAAAGTCACCAGTATGGAATATTTAATTTAAAATATGTGCTCATTTTATAGATAGGAAAATAACTTTGTGAGTTTGATTTGCATACATTTGTTGCTGGCAAAATGAAGTATTTTAGAATGTGTATTTATGGATAAGCTTGTATTGTTATGTGTACTTGCTATTAGTGGAGTATGTTCTTTTTATATATTCTCTTACTATATTTCACCTTTTTGCCTCAGTTACAAATATTTACTTGAGCAAACCTCTTTCATATGAGGATTGCTTTGTATATGATTAATTGTTCTCATCTGTATTATTCTGATGATACAGAAGATGTTGATCTTCTATAATTCATACAGTGATACTTCCTGAATGTAATTTTAAATGGAAATAACACCATCAGGAAATAGAATATAGTATTCTAAGAAGTGATTATAATAGACACCTAATAAATATTTTGATTGATTTATTGAGGCAACCAATTGATGCTCTTTTCAATTTACTAAATCATACATTTCGTTAAAATCTGTGTTACTTATTCTTATATACATGCCATTACAAAGATGCCCAAATCATTATAGTTTATATCCTACTAAAAATGTAAGTACAACAACAAGTGAAGGGAAAGGGAAAAGAAGGGATGAGGAGAAATAAAAATAACTTAGATGTGTTCTGTATGTACCAACTCCCCATGATGAATTTAATCACTATGTACTGTAAGCTTGTACTAATAAAAGTTTAGCATTTAAAAATAAAGAGCATTAAAAATAAAAATAATATAGGGCATGGTGGTGCACATCCATAATTCCAGAACTTGGTAAGCTGAGACAGGAGGATCACCATGCAATCATTCCCAGCCTTAACTACACAGGGACTTCAAGGTCAGCCTGAAGTACATAGTGAGACCCTGTCTCAAAAAATAAATGTATAACAATAAAAACATAGGTGTGATTATTAATTATATTTCTCTCCAAATTGAAGCTAGTATCTATAAAAACATTAATAGGGGATAAAGGTGTACGGAAAGTGGAAAGTATAGGGGAAGGCTAATAAGGGATAAGAAAAAAGTATGAGTAAATGAAAAAATGGAAATGAAGTGTCTGTAAAGGGGGAGAGGAGGAGGGGTGAAGGGAGGGCAGGGACAAGGGGAAAAAATGAGAACCAAGACCTGTCGTGTAGAGGTACAAGATCCCAATATAGAATGTAACTGTACTGTATACCTAAAATGTACCAATAAACTCAATGAGGAAAAAATATATATAAAATCATTAATATGAGCAAGGTGTTAGAATGATAAAGATATATTTTGGAGTAACAATTATAGCACATAGCCGATGTTTATTTAGAAAACTAAATTATAGTTCTTCTAATTTTATATGTAAATAAATATTTAAATAAAACTTACCACATGTAACAATGTTGATATAAGATCACTTACATTCATTATGTTAGAAATGATTCAGTAACTGCTTCTAGCCCCTAGTAGTGAAAATATCTCCCATGTTTCAATCAGTAAATCTTAATCTTAGATCCTGAAATATCTAAAACTTTATCATCATTGGCCTCCCTGAAAATGCTAATTAAGAGGAAAAAATCTGAACTTTAGAAAACAAGAATTCTAACTGTCAATCTATCTCTATATCAATGTCTTGAATGTTTAAATCATTCTTTTAAAATGTATAAAAATGAAATAATGATCGAGAATATTGCCGCAATCTATGTTTTAATCAAGTACATTGGAAGAAAGAACTTCAAATTTCATGAAGAATTTAATCCTAATCCTAATCATTCTTAAAGAATTTGAATGAAATCTTTTGAAGTAGTTGAACAATCTTAATGAAGTGGATTTAGTATAAAAGGAACATTTCAAATTGTATCAAATTTTCAGTGTTATTTTGGTTTCTTCATTTTAATTAATACTTCAACTCCTTCATTTTCAAATGAGTTTTAAAAAGACAAATGCATATACACATAGCTGTCCATCACACCTATGTATGATATGTCCAGCATATCATAGCTAGGTATGATGTTTTATTCAATTTATACAATATTTATTGATCTCAAACTATTAAAATTTTAGTTAGAACATGTAGCTCATGGACAGCTTTTAAAGATATTAATCATAATAAATCTAGCATTACAAAGCAAAATGTAACAGGATTGGCACTTTCTTCTAGTATTTGTTCTACTAAATCATTCTTACAAAATAATCACACAGTCTACTTTTAAATAACTCAAAACATAAAAAGAACAGTACTGTACGAGGCAGAACACTTTTCCTTTGGATGGTTTGGAAAGGAGCAGTGAATATTATGTTAAGTGAAAGCTCTCCTTCTGAAGCATTATTTAGAATATAATGGGGTCACTCACTCCAATTTTTTGTTCATAAGCCAGTCTGTCTAAATAAGTTGCTTCTCCTCTTAACAGCTATCATTTTTCCAGATTAAACATTGCTTAGTCTTCAGTTGTTCTGCAGGGTTTTTTGTTTCTGGGTAAATAATCACAATCATGACTCTTCTGAACACATAGATTATCTAATATACACCCTAAAACATGGGTCTAAAGCTGAAAACAATGTCTTATGTAATGCAAACACATAAACTATCTTTAATTTAATTGCATAAGTTTAATTCACACACACACACTCGCATACAGACACACACATATAGATACAAGATGACTAATTACTGTAGACAAATTAATATATCCATCACTTCTTTATTTACCCTTTTTATGTAATCTATTAAATGTATTCTCTTAGCAAAATTTAAGTATAACAAATATGTTGACTATAGCCCTCATGTTGTACATTATATCTCTGAAATTATTCATTGTACATTCTTATAAATTTTTACTCTCTAACCCAATTTTCTCTACTCCCCTTTCCTTCCTTTAGAAACCAGCATTCTGAATCTATTTATTTATCTGGATTTTTTAAAAAGTGAGATCATACAGTATTCTTGTCAGCCTGCCTTATTTCTCTAGCATAATGTCTTCATGTTAAAAATAGTATTATATATATATATATATATGCAGTTCCACAAGTTATAAATAGTATCATATATATATGATATCATATATATATATATATATATATATGCAGTTACACACAAAAAGCACAATTTCTTTATCCATTCATCTGGCAATACAAACTTATGCTACTTACTTTTGTGTCTTTGTTATTGTGAAGAGGAATGAAAGGAGCATGGGATCACAGGTAGACCTACAAAGGTCTGAGTTTATTTTGCGTGAGTATATACTCAACAGAAGGGTCATGTGTTCATATGGGAAGTCTATTCTGAATTTTTGAAGGATCTTCTCTCCTGTTTTTCATAATGGCTGAAACAATTTGCATTTTCTCTAAGAACATACAGAAGTTTCCTTATCTCAACATCTTTCCCAATGCATGTTATCCTTTGTTTTTGATAACAGCTATCTGAACAAGAGGGAGGTGATATCTCATTGAGGTGTGGATATTCATTTTCCTAATCATTAATAACATGTCCAACATAGGTTTTAATAATTATTTCTTTTCCCCCAATCTTATATTGTTTTATAAATATGTCATGGTAGGAAGATCCTGCAGTACTATCATTTGTAAAATGCCCTTTCCAAATTTCTTTTTGTGTTTATGTTGCATCTAAAAAGTGAGATCATAATTTGCTGTGCAGAAAGTGCGTGGTATACACAAAG